TAATGCAGGACTTTCGCGCACTGGCTCATTAGCTGATGACTAGTTTTGAGGCAGCTGCTCTTTCCTTTAACTAGCCACACCTGCATGGGCTGGCTCTGTTAGCAGATAAGTGTCAGAAAGAAGCTGATGGATTTAGATCCAAATTTTCCGAAGCTTGTGCAAGGCCTTCCTGGAGTTAGGGCACTAAGCCTGTCTTTGAAAGAGTGAGGAAGTACTGGAAAGGTTATTTGGGTAGATGTGATATCTTTTATTAGACCAACTAAATAGTTGGGAAAAGGTTCTTTGTAAGCTTCAGGCATTGGGAAACTCTGGGGAAGTACTGGTATGTTGGTCCTATCCCTGAGAGAGTATCTGAAGAAGTCAGTGGTGCTTCCCTCTTCTAGACGTTGTGTGGCTTGAACACATACACAGTGTGTGGGAGACGGGGGGCTAACTCCTCCTCCTGGTCCAGGAAATTTGAACTTATATTCCCACCTCACTTGGGAATATCCTATAGGAATAGGGCAATGATTCTCAGTGGAGGTCCACAACATCCTGGGGTGCCATGAAATCCTTTTAAGGGTGCTGCCAGGTAGAACTGCCTTACCACACCCCTGTTTCTGGGAAATGCCATGTGAGGCTAGACTGGGAAGCAGCAGTGGCAGGAAGGGTGTCTCTCGTTCCAGCCAGGCATGCTAGGAAGGGTTGCTATGAAGCTTCTGCTGCTGCTGTCCTATCTGAGAGCTCAGATCAGCAGTGCCACCACCATGGACAGGACACATTATGTGCTGCCTCTGCCCTTATGCTTCCCAGTGGGAAAAGGGCAACCCCTGAGCTTCATGCATCAAGGCAAAATGGGGAGGGGGGATGGGGAGAGGAGACATGTCTCATGTGTCAGGAAAAGGAGGGGCTCCCTCTGTCTGCAAGTCAAGGTGCCCTGAGTCTAAAAAGGTTGAAGATGTTGGAGGTATACACCCTCAGTTCCTCCTGTAAAAGCTGCTCTGCTTTGGTCAGTATTAAGAATATTAATTAGGACAGAGAAAGGATGCAACTGTGAGCATGATTCTATATCTTAAAGCTTGCAGCCTGCTCCAGGAGAGAAGACCTGGGTTCTGATCACTGCTCTACTGAATTCTCGAGGGGAATGCCTCAAGACCTAAGGTTGAGGAGGACCGGGTGAGAGTGCTACTAGAGGGGCTGGACGTGTTCAAATCAGCAGGTCCAGATGCTCTCCACCCCAGGGTGTTGAGGGAGCTAGCAGGGGTTATTGCAGGGCCCTTGGCACAGCTTTACGAGCGCTCGTGGTGCTCGGGCCAGGTGCCAGATGATTGGAAGATAGCCAATGTGGTCCCCATCTTTAAAAAGGGAGGAGGGAGGACCCAGGCAACTATTGGCCCATCAGTCTTACCTCAATCCTGGGGAAACTCTTTGAGAAGATCATCAAGGAGCACATCTGTGACGGGCCGGCATCGGGGATGATGCTCAAGGGCAACCAGCACGGTTTCATTAGGGGCAGGTCATGTCAGACCAACCTGATTGCCTTTTACGATCAGGTCACAAAAGCATTTGATGCAGGTGTCGCCGTGGATGTAGTCTTTCTGGACTTCAGCAAGGCCTTTGACACTGTC